TCGTAAGAATCTTACTAATATATAATGGCGCCATCTATGCGGGTTTTTTCCAAGTTTCTTATATCAATTATAAGTTTCAGACGTATAAAATAATTTTACAATTGAAAAGTGATAGCAATGTTTTTTTTTTAAGTTTCGTATGTCAATTATGAAATTTTCCGACATACTAAAATAGTTGATTCTGAGAGGTGATAGCAATGTTCTTTCTACGTTTCTTATGTCAATTATAAAAGTTTCCGACACATAAAAATAGTTGATTTTCAGCGGTATAAAATTATTAATCCTGAAAAGTGATAGCAATTTTTTTTCTAAACTATTGTATTTCAATTGGATGCTTTTCCAATTAAAGTTTCAGACTTAAAAATAATATAATTCTGAATATCGATTTTGAAAGTATCAGTCGCATTCTGCCCTTTGGGTTAATTTGATAATTTTTGCGCAATAAAATATTTCGATGAATTATTTTCCGAATAAAACTAAGAAAGTAAGCAGTTAAATCACTTGGACATTTTTCATTTAACATTTTGCTATTTAAAGACATTCCGAAAACAAAAATAAGCATAAATCCTTTTTAATTTCAAAATTATAAGATGGATTGCATTTATTAATTGTAATTTTTATCAAAATTTAATTGCAGTTTTTGTGTATTTTCTTTCGCAAGTAGATTTCTTTCGACGAAACATTCAAAGCGATCCACATTTTATTGTTTTCACACTTTTCTTCAGAGCATTTTCTCTGCTCTATATAAATGTTTTTTTTTTTTTTTTTTTTTAAATTTTTTAAATTTCACCTTTAATTTCTGGTTCTCTATCAATTTTTTGTTTGAAATTATACTTACTTGAAGAATGGATATTACTAAGTAGTTTGAATAAAACTAAACACATTTAGAGTAATAAAAAAATATTTATCACTGTAAAAAGGTTAAATTAGTTACTAATTTTTATATAAAATCAATGATATTAATGATACTTTTTTTTTATCAATTTCAGAGAGCAAGTGTTCAATCATAGTGCTGCCATCTCTTAAAAAAACATAAAAGTATCACTTAAACTCATGTTTAAGAGCAGATGTAAAGCGGCAAATAAAAAAAAATTGCAGTCTAACATAAGTTATCTATAATAGGAGAAATATTATTATCATTGCCAGTAATGTTAACCATAAATACACTTATTCTTATTTGCCCTAATGGCATTTCAATTTCAAGGCTTTTAAATTTATTAATTTCTATTATTAAAACTTTTTACATTCATTACTACTAATAATAATAATTAATCGTTTTATTTTTTTTATCACAAATTTTAAATTCTAAAACTTTATATTATCTTTAAAATGAAAATATTGGCCATAGATGGCGCCACAGGCATACGTCAGCAAAAACATCATTAACTTGGTAAAAACCTAGAATTGCCCACCCCTTGGTGACTTTTTTAAATCTTGCCAAGTTGGCTATTATTACTTGGATCAATGTTGTTTTTTATTATTAAAAAATCAATTTAAATTATTCCAAATTTATAAAAATATTATTAAGAAAACAAAATAAAAAAAATAACTTTCAATAAGGTTGCAACATATCGAACCGAAATATCTTCCAGAAACCTAGTTAGGTGAGATTTCAAAAAGTCGCTTGGCGAAATTTAAAAAAGTTGCCTGGCGAGATTTTAAAAAGACTACGAACACTTTTCATTTTCGCAAAATTGAGGCTTTTTTCCATATTGTCGTTTTGCACCATTTTCAAAATAAGCGTAGACAGCCCTGGCTTTAGATAGGCAAAACGTGACCTAACAATCATGAGTAGGACTGGGCGATATAAGAAATTTTATATCGTGATGCATCGTCAGTTATGCATTGCGATATAGCGATGTATCGCGATATAGTAGTTTTGAAATTCATTTACCTGTAAGGCGCAGAAAGTGGGATTTCTGTCAGAACTTCATACTCAGATTGATTTAAATCAATTTATGAATTTGATGTATATGTTTTACTTAAGAAAGATATTAATGTTATATTTTCTAAAAATGATCGCGCAAATAACGAAAGATTTCTTAGTTAAAAATAAATAATAAAAAAATAAATAAAATTGAAATTTATCAATATATTTACCTAACAATATAGAAAGAAAATTTAAAAAATAAGTTCTTTCAAAATTATTTGTGTGCTTAAAACAAAGTGCTAAATAAATTAAACAAAAAAAAACACGTTTAAAACAACACTATTTTTTATCATTATTAGTTCACATAAATAATAAAGTTTAAACTGAATAATTTCCGAATTCTGAACGAAAAAACAAAGTAAGGTTTAATTTCTTAAAAATAAAAACAAAAGAATTACTATATTCGATAATATATTCAACTGACAATATTGAAAGAAAATTAAAAAACACGATTATACTCTTTAATAAAACGAAGTGCTAAACGATTTTAAAAAAAGAAGTCGCAATCGCAAACATTACTAATTTTTTTGAATAAACAAAGTTGATTGACTTATGTCCAAATCCAAAAGAGGAGAAATAAGTTTTGTTATAATTTTATTTATAAAAATGAAAACAACTAAAGGCTTATAAATTTAAACTCAGTAATAAAAACCCATTAAATTATTATTTTATCCAAAAAGTTTTTAATAAATTAAAATAAAGTAAAAAATAGCCTAACAAATTTAATTACTTTTTAATTTAATTCTTTATGGGCACCTTAAATTAGATTTCCGTTTGTAATAAATTCAATAATGTAAAATAATACTTAAATATATAACATCAAAATTAATTTTCACATTTAAAAATAAAAAAGAAAGTTTTGTTTCAAAAAAAATATACCTAATTAATTAAGAAACACTTCTTTATATATTCTTTTCAATAATAGATTACGTTCAGAACAAGGTAACGATCACAAAGTCAGTCCCACTGAAAATAATCTACAAGAAACGATATCAAGTCGCGACAAAGCAGAAAAAAAAACTAAGAGGTGCGGAAACGAACATGCGAGATCACGATAAATGTTCTCAAAACTGATTCTGATTCTACTGCTCATCAATCAAGGCCGTTTCAATATAACGATACGTACATCGTCTTCCCCAGCGCGAGTTGGCATCGGAACGTAAGAGATCCTTTCGTGTCTTCTATCGCTATATCGTATATCGCTATATCGTTCGTCTTCTTTATTCGACGGCTTAAATCAGATTTCTGATGCATCGCCTGGAACGAAAGTCGTTGTATCAGCCTGCCGATACAGGCGATAAATCGATGTGTCGCGATATATCGATTTATAGCCCAGACCTAGACATGAGTAGCCGTTGCAAACTCACAGCACTTACAAAAATAGCATATTATTCGCAAAACAGCATCCTTCAATATTACGAACCGAGCCTTTGAAAAACAGTCATAACAACCGATAAAAGTAGAAGATGAGAGATGAGAAATGAAACGTATACAAATTATATATTTTAAAGTACAGACATTTAAGACTTAGATTATCAATTATATTTATGACTTAGAATATTTAAAACTTATATTAGTCTCAATATTAAAAAAAAAAAAAAAGTTTTTAATAGTCGAAATCTTTCGTCCAGGTTTTTAATCTCCACGATTTTTCCACGCTTTTAAATCTATACATAATATTTTTTATAATTTTAATTCAATTATTTTTTTAAATTACATTTTTTTTTCAGTAAAAAAATAATTAAAGACATAAATGACAGCTAACATTATGCTTACTCAAAATATTTAATTAGTTTGAGTGGGGTTTAATTTAAATTCAAATACTCTTTAATTTCAGCATAGCTTAATTAAGGGTATAATTAATTAGAAAACGTCTAAAGAAATTTGCTTTCTTTTTTAAACTGGAACATAAAGTTTTAAATAAATGAACAATTACGTAGAATCATATGGGGAAAAAAAAAGAAAAAACTCTATTCCCACGGGAGCTGAGATTAAACCTAATTACATGATCACCATAGAATATTGCTACAGAAAAAATACATCGTTTCACAAAATGATGACACTAAAAAAACATCAGTCATATAATTAGTAGCATCTTCATAGCACGAAACATATTTCCCAGCATCCCCCCTTTCAAAGCAGAAAAAGCCCTCCATGCCCTGTCAATTTCGTCATGTGCATCACCCTCCCTATTTTTCAGGGTCACGTGATAAACATTTTGTGTTATGATGGCACATGTCTCGCACGTGGTTTCTACAACAATGTTGGTCATCGCGTGCGCGCAATGAATTTTTACGCGCCAAATAACAATGATCTGAAGAGTGATGTGTGAGAAACAAAACCCCATATACATAACACCGTATTGCTCCTTTCAATTTAAATGACGCATCCATACTGAACCACCTAATAAAAATTTCTCGGTATTTGGCCAATGATTACATGAGAAGTCTTATTCGCTATTGGCCGATAATCACGTTACATTAACGAGGGAGATTCGAGATATTTGATCGTGTTAAGATGGTAGTATTATGATGAAAAGAGTTTTGATAAAGTATCGAATATGAACTGTTTTCTTTAGAGTTTCAGTTATATAAGTTTTTCTTTTTAATGTTAGCAGCAGCTGATTAAGTCATCTTATTAGCCTCATTCTGTAGATTCATTTTCTGTTTCTTGCAACTTTTCTCGTGTTACTTGGTGAAATTAAGAGCGGAAAGCAAAATTTCGCAATCTAATCCACTTGAGAGTGTTGCAAAATTTTTGTTTTAGAACAATAATAAGTTAGAAAAATATCGCTTGGAAACATTTTTCTAACAATCGTTTGAAAGTGTGACAAAGTGCGTGTTTTGTCTGATAGAATAACAATATTATGAACATTGATAAAAAGTTAATTTCGCAAATAAAAAAAAACTATAAAATATTTAAATCACATTTCGTGTAACTATTATAATTATAAAAAAGTTATCAATTCAAAAGACTTTTTTGATAAAAAAGTAGTTCTAAAATTATTAAAAATAAGAAAAAATCGGGATTTTACCACCAATACTAGCAAGTGCAGATTATAATTATTGAATATATTAATTTTTTGAACTTAAAAATTTCTTTAAATTATCGCCTTCTGATGATCACTCATCTTTCCTGATTCTTCAAACGAATGTAAGAACGAAAATGATTTGCTCTAAAAGCACCGGAAAAACCTCAACTATATTCCACTTCCAGGAAGGAGGACTGGCGGAAGTTAAACCGGAGGTTTATTCTCAGCAATTATTGCATTTGTCTAAGACTTCATTTCAATCAAATGCGATGTTTGACGGATCAGGTGATAGTCGTTACGATGAAGAACAACGGAATTACCGGACGGAACCAGATGAAGAACCGGAAAAAGGAACCGTCGGACTTTTGGAAGTGTCCCGCACCTTGTATGGTGGAGTTGAGGCTGCAGGTCACGGTAGCGCGAATTTTGACCGAAGCATAATTGATCGGAATGATGAAAACTCTAGATCAGATCCTAACGGTTGGACTAACAGTGTGTGTCATATAAAAACTGATGGGGATCGAACCACTGACCCTCGGGATACTTGTAATCAGGATTCTTGTAACCAACAGATTGAGGAATCCAGGATAATTATAAGAGGTAAGATTTTTTTGGAAAAAAAAGGTTAAAAAAAAAGTTTACAAAATTTTGAGCTTTAATATATATTATTAACTATTTAATTAACTTTTTGAAACACCTAGCTTCGTCTAACAATTGTATTTAATTTAGTTTCAATTAAGATAGGATCTCAACTAATGAAAATCATTAGTCAAAAATAATGCTTTTCAGACAAATTTCTTTAACCCTACTCTTGATTTTTTATGACTCTTTGTGAGAGACCGTCTTCTACATATTAAACTTGATAAGAAACATAGGTTTTAAGCTTATCAGTTAATATAGAAAGATTCGCATGAGAAATTATATATATATATATATATATATAATTACATTTTTTTAGATTTGTGGCTACTAATCTTAGAAAGTACTGAATCTTATTAAGCCAAATTAAATTTTTATTTCAGAACTTAATGGATTGAATTTAGTTTATTGTCAAAATATTTAGAATAACATAAATTTTATGCTAATATTTATTTATTCATTTATCTTTAGTGAAGCTGAAATGTTAGATATGGTCCCTAATGTTCAAGAAAATTCACGTCTCTGTAAGTATTTTTTCTCCTTTCAATTTGTTTGTAAATAAGAATATCTATTACTAGAAATGATTTCTTTTAAAAATATGACGTGTTGNTATATATATATACATACATAAATAGATACGTACATATGTTTGCATCTATAAACATACATATATAGATGCAAACATATGTATATACATACATATCGCTCATTTGGTGAAACAATGACGTAACTGATAATTACTCTAATTATCAGTTACGTCATTGTTTCACCAAATGAGCGATATACACATGCATACATATATATGCATATATTTATAGACACGCATATATAGACATAGTAACAAATTGATACATGGTTGCGTCACCTATTTATCTTATGTTATTTTTTTACCATTAGAAGTCCGATCAATATTTAATAACTTGATAAAGATCTACTATACTTATTTTAGTGTTGCTTTAACTGAATTCAAATTTTAAATAACTAAATCAGTTACATAACATATCTATTTGTCAAAATGTAATTGTCTACTGTTGAAAAGAACTAATATTATCTTAAATTTAAACGTCATTTTTAACTAATGAACTTAATGTTTTAAGTGATTATTTGAGGAATTTAATGGATTCAATTATTATTGTTATCGTTTCAACTCAAAAGAGGCATTTTTTCAAAGGGAATTAATTATTTATATAATTTAAGCTCTGAAGTGTTTTTGAGAGTTACAGTTAATTCAGAAAGAAAAGTTAAAAATTTTTTTTAATATTTATTTATTACATTAATATTAGTTTTATTAATATGATTGACTTAACAATTTAACAACAACTTAATTTGACAACACAAATTAAGCAAATTTGCGCAATTTTTTAGAAGGAAAACAGATAATTTTTTACAAGCAAAATTGTCCGTTAAATTTATTTTGTAAGCTATGAACTTTATAATATCTAATCCAGTTCTACAAGGTGTTAGTTTTTTATGTATTTTTGTAAACTTATTCATGCGAGGCAAAATATATAGATCTAAACAAATTCTCAAGGCAAAGACATGGAATTTTTTAAGTTTTTGACTCTTCAAAATTTCTAGAAATAAATTGCAATAAATTCACATGTCCTATTTTTGAAAATTTTAATATAGAAATTTAATTATTTACTAGAAATTTACAAACTGGAACTGGAAAGAGGTGTAAATTAAATGTCAGTTATAAAGAATAGTTTGAAAAAAAACAATTTTATTAATTTTTTTATAAAATTTAATCTAAATTAAATCTGATATAATTTTGTATACTCATCAAATATTTCAAAAAAAATTTTACTTGCAGAGAATTTTTACTCTCATTATCCTAAGTAATTAGTTTATTCTAGAGTATTATTATTTAATTAAAACAAATCTAACGAATTTTTGAAAAAAATTAAAAATTATTTTCAGTTAGTAATCATTTTGAAATCAAACAGATATATTTATGCATTACAGTTTACGTTTTAGAATCTATTGTACATTCATTATTTTTTCAAACATTTGAGTTTTATAAGCTGAAAACAAAATATAAAAATTCTTTTTTATACTTTTTAATAATATTATAGTTTTGCTTATTATTTTATTCTACAAAATCATAATTATAATTTGCATACCTTTTTATAAACATAACCCCCGAAACATAGAGGTAGCCGCAATCTGGGAAATATGGTCCTAATGTTTTTATCAAGAGAGCGGTCATAGTTTGGATCCATTAATGTTAATTTTATTTTTTGCGGATTTCGTCATATCTCAAGAACTTTAACCGATTGAAAAATTTTTGCGCATAATTGTAAAATTTGTTTATTCAAAGACAATGCTATGCAAAAAAATAAATTTCAGTAAATATTTATTATTTTACTTATTAATAGTCGAAAAAATTTTCAATTGTTAGGTATGCAGTTACTTTCATGATTTTAAACTTTCTAATTTTACATGACAAAAGACAAAATCTGAGTGAAATCGGTTGAATAGTTCCTGAGAAATCGGAGTTTATAAAAATCGCATATTTACAAATAGATTTCTTAGGAACTATTCAACCGTTTTCGCTCAATTTTTGTCTTTTGTCATGTAAAATTGAGTACTTCAAAATGGTGTAAAAATTTATTTACCTTGCAATTCAATTTTTTTCCGAATATTATTAAATAAAATAATAATAAATTATAAATATTTAATAGACTTTATTTTTTGCATGGATAAACGAATCTTTGGATAAACAAATTTTTCAAATGTATGCAAAAGCTTTTCATTTCGCTTAAAAAGTTCTCAAGATATGGCTAATTGAAGGGGTCCAAGGATTGGATCGTTCGCCTAACCAAACAATTGGGACTATATTTTCCATATTGCTTGAAAATATAGGGCTTCTCCCTATATTTTCAAGCTCAGAAATCCGAATCCGTCGAAAGAAAAAAGTATGTTTATTCAAAGAAAATACATTTTTGTGCTTGATTTCGACACTTAAAATATCGTCTGCTCTAATTGATTAGCGTATTTTAGGTCACCCCCTCGAATCATTAAAATTGGATGTTAGAACGAGACGAGACGATCATTAGATCAAAAGTTATTTGGGGTGGTTCGTTTATTTTTTTGCGCTCTGGTCCTTTGACTTTAACCACCTTCATTAATTTTTACATTTATAACTTATTTTTGTCTATATACTATATATTTTGCTTTACTTGATTTATTTAATGCATTATTTGTTTTATTATTTATTTATTTATTTTATTATTTATTTTTTTATTTATTTATTTTATTAACTTGTTTTATTTTATTTACTTATTTTATATTATTTACTTATTTCCTTTTATTTACTTGCAGAAAAATAAAGGCTTTTGTAAATAAAAGTTTCGGTATTTTTTATTGATTTGAAAATTATTAATAATTTTTAAAATATTTTATTTCAATTCATATTGGTAAAGAGAAGCATTAAACCTTATTTTAAAGCAGATAAAACTTTTTTCTCCCTTTTTTTTTAAAAAAAATTCAATTTTATGTTCTATAAGATCACTGAAAAACCCCATGTCAATTAGATAATTGCAGATGGTGGAATCAGAAGATCGTGGGCAATGATATGCGTTAAATACATACAATACAAACAAAAAATAAATAAAATAATAAAATAAATGCAATGAAATATAAACTTATATCTAATAAAAAAATATATGAAGTTATTTATCAAGAAAGCGCAATCATTGTTTTGCAATCGATATAATCGATTTAATAGTTTAAATATATATTTTTATCTGTCAGCTATTAACATTACGATTTGCATCACTTTTATTTTAAATTTATTCCAATGAATAAAAGAAAAATCATCAACAACGGAATCAGAGAATCAAGTAATAAGATAATAAATCAATAAACAAATCATGGATTCACTTGAATAACGATCTACTGAAATAGCAAGTGAATATATAGGTAAATCAGTAAGTTGAAAAATCACTGATATGTTGATCCGTTTTCCATTGATTCACTCATTCACTAATTTATTTGTTCTTTGACCCAACGACTCTTTAATTCATCTGTAGGCTGCTTTTCAGGTTAATTCATTTTTTATTCATTATTTAATGATTTGTTTATTGTTCCTTATCCTCTATCTAAAAATCAATTTTTTTGCGTAATGAGGTTATTCAGCATTTTAGATGGGGGGAAATAAATTTTAAAAAGTAGTAAAGTTGATATTTTAATTCGTGGCTTTCTTAAAATCTATGTTAAATTTCAGTTGCCATTTATAAAAATCAGAAAGAATGGATGCTACGTACGCGAAGAAACCGATTTTTACTATTTATGGCCTTAATTCCTTATCATAAATTTAAAAAAAAAACATGCACATGGGAGATCGCAAACTAATATTTAAGCTAAGAAAAAACAAAGACGCTCTCAAAATCTGACGAACCACTATACAGGAAGGCCGGTGTAATGAATATCAGGTTTAATTGGACACTCAAATTTGGAAGTGTTTCTTATAACCGACTTTCAACTAATATATGTAAACACGTATTGTAGCTTATTTCTTTCACTCCCTATATTATAATGTCAAATATCTATAGAGTTTTGGCTTTTTCCTCGGTTAAATATTAATTTGCAGCCCCTAGTATGTATGCATTTTTGTTTCCATTTCTTTTACATTTTTTAAAATGCATATTGAAAAAAATAACTTAATTTTAGGAAATTTCAGGAACCTGTTCCTTCCTTGTGTGCAAAGGTAGGCAAAACGAAAACTTCGCTTTCTATGTTTTCGTAATTCCTTTTTAAATCCTATACATTATTTACTCACATTTAATTATCTTTTCAATTTATTTTCTTTGTTTTCTTCGGTTAAAAAATGAGTTTCTAATGTGAGCATTGCTCAATTCCCCAAAATAAGCAAATCATAAACTCACTTCCCCAGCTAATGCTTACGTAACACCTAAACGGCCCTTAAGATATTGATAACTTCTTTTAATCTTTCAGATTACAGACAAATAGATACTGAAGACAGGATACCTGAACCTCATACACTTTCAGACATAAAATACAGTTATGCTGAGTCTAGGAATATCTACAGTTCAATCCTCTCTATGAGAGATCCTTATTTGGGATATTCTAGCCAAATCTATCAATATCCAAATGAGCTTCTAGCTTCTCAAGGTGAAACTCACAGCAGTTTTCAGAGTGCAAAACTTCAAAGTTCACAAGCGGAAATCTATCGTCCTGTTGCTACACAACTTAGGCATGAGAGTACAATTGGAACAAGTTATACTGATGCCAAACCACATACTTATGGTAATTTTTATTTCGTTTCTTCCTTCAACAATTATAAAATTATATTTTATTCAAGCACACACGGAGTAAAAAATACTGACAAAATTATTATAATTATTAATTATACATATATAAGTAATGTTATGCCTTTAAGGGCTAGATAATTGAAGAGACTTAGGCGAATACATTTAAAACGGCATTTTATTACGTTATATTAAGTATTGAAAGCAGTGTTCGTTGGCTCTGTACAATGATGGTCCCCCCCCCTTGCAGGGATGCTTGGCTCTGGCACAGATTTCTCTAGCCATGAAAATATAAAAAAGACTCGCATTTTTGGTTGTCCCGAGATTTTAAAGGAAAGTTCAGAAAGGGAGTGGTTGCAAGGATCTTCTTATCTTACTGAAACGTCATTCAATTAGAGATTCTGATTCGCTAAAAGGATATCACCACTCTGCCACTGGGAAGTTTTTGGGACTATCTTAATGTGTACTTCATCGGCGAATTATTGCCCATTAACTTCAGAAAATACTCTTTTATCTGGCCTTATCTGGTTTATCTTGACTTTTTATGGCTCTTTGTGAGAGACCGACTTCTACATCTTAAACTTGATAAGAAACATATGTTTTAAGCTTACCAGNGGATACTATATATATATATATATATATATATCATTGGAAGGATTTTGCATGGGTAAAAATGACGTCAATTCTAAAAGCTTCAAGTATGATCTTTCAAATTGTGCTTGTGCCAACAGTTTCGTCCTGTAAAATCTTCCAAGACTTGCTGTGGAAAAAACATTTGTTTACATAGAGTTAGTATCGAAATATTTCAATTATTTTGATTATCCCTTGTATTACATCTTGTAACTTGTATTACATACAAAGAAACGCATATTTTACTTAAGTATATATTTTATGAATTTCACTCAATATTCAATATTTGTATACTTAAAAATAACTGCAAATATTTCGTATTCCTTATTATAAAGCTCAGTTTAATAGTTTAGTTTATTTTAAACAAGGACAATTATTTTCGAATTCTTGAAATGCAACGCAGAATATGAATGTTTTGCACTAAATAGCTGTTAATTAACGAAATGTATTGCATAAATTTACCTTGATTTCTTTGTTAAGCATTAAATCGAAATTAAATTTTAAAAAATACTTTCAAATAATGTAAAATTTGATTCTTATTTAATTTTAATGTTTTCGGCTAAAATTTTAGAAAAAATTACCACTAGCCCTGATAAATAATAGTAGTTGCATAGTAAGTGCAATCATAAATACCAGTATTTTGATGCATAATCAAATTATGATACAAAGGGAATAAAAAAAATTTAAAAAAAAAAAAAAAACTTCACTGAAACTAACAAATTTGTACTACTATCGCGATGCCATTATTTCGGGTTTCAAAGTAAATGCAAACATAAATTTCAATATTCTGACGTACATTAAGATCCTAAGATCGACAATCACACCTAAAACCAACAAAATTTTACCTCTCACTCCAATAAATCATAATTATGGCAAAACCCATATTATAGATTACTAAGTATATGCAATCATAAATTTCAATATTATGACTTATACTGGGATCCTAATATAAGCAATTGCAACTAAAACAAACAAATTTTTGCCTCTCACTCCAGTAAATCATAATTATGGCAGAGCGGGTATTACAGGTTGCAAAGTGCATGCAATTATAAATTTCAATATTATGAAGCATATTGGGACGCTAAAATTAACAATCGCAACTAAAAATAACAATTTTTTACCACTAGCTCTGCTGAATAGTAGTAGTGACAAAACTGGTATTACAGATTGCAATGTAGGTGCAATCATAAATTTCAGTACTATTGACACAACATGGAACACTATTACGTTAAACAGTCGCAACTAAAAACTAACAAATTTTTATTTATAAAAACTGACATTTCGATTAGCAAAGTAAGTGCAATCATAAATCCCAGTATTACGACGCATTATGAGAAACCAAGATAAACATTCGCATTCTCACTCTCTAAATAACATGTAGATGATAGATATTTGAATTTTGGGAGACATCAAAACGAGTCAATGCTTCAGATGCCGGAAACGCATCCGGAAAAATTCTGACCTCTTAGTTGTTATCCGGCCAGTTGTATTTCCGGACAACGCAAAGACTTCCAGTTCAGGAAACTGCATTTCCGATGTCTCAGAGTTCTGGATGACGAAGTTGCTTTATTTTCAATAAATTGAGGAAAAATTGTGGTTGATTGAATTATGATTATACCTTGGAAAATAGAATATTTTATATTACTTTAAAGTTTTTTTTTTTTCAATACCTGAAATAGTCGCTAAGTGATTATTTTTTAATGTGTTGTCAGATTTTTTTTTTTACTTGAAATGCAAAGCACTGAAATACATTGACCTAAAAAATTGGAGCTATCGGTAAACAATTTATTTATAGTACAATATTCGGCTGATAAAAGAAGAATAAATTGGATGAAATCGTTGCTGCTATTTAAACTTTTTGATTTATTCTTTTAGAATTTTTTTCATTATTTGGTACGCATTATTTGGTGCGCATTGTATCAACTTCCATAACTTTTGCTCTCATGACCAGATTTTTACTTATTAAAAAAGCAGCGCACATTTAGAAAGATTTTTTCTATGCATATGTAAAATAAAAAACTGGGAAAGTTAGAAGATAATAATTAAAATACGCTCTTAATTATTCTAAACTAAAACAATTCTTTATACTGCAATATTTTTAAATAATATCAATTTTTCAAACTTTTGAACAGAAATATTGTGTACAATAATTATTAATTTAAATTCCTTCATTATTATAAAATAAATAAAGAAATAACAATTTAAATTTTCAAAAAATTCTCAAAATTTTTCTTAAACAAAATTTTTTTATTTCAAAAAATTAGCATTTCAATCTGTGATCCTAGAAATTGTTCAAAATTTTATTTGTGAGAAAAATTTTGAAAATTAAAAATTTTGTGAAAATTAATTGTATAAGGGACATTTTTATTTCGCGTGACTAAGCTTTTTTATTTAATAAATTTATCAGTAAATTTTCAAATTTTTATGACACGGATAGTAAATTAAGGTAAAAAAATACCTGCAATTCGTGCCTTGACGTTGTTTGAGACATATGCGATTTGTTTATCAAAAAAGACTTACCGTGGAATGAGACGAAGTAATATAGTGCTGCTGAGAAGTGAAAGATGTTGTTAGTTGTCCGAGGTCAAAAATGTAGAGAAAATGTGAGAGATTGATGTCTTTTGGCTTCAGTTGGGTACGTACCCGAGACCTTTGAGTTTGTGGTTTGATTCTGTAACCACCATGGAAACGGTTGTATAACCCTAACTTGAGTTAGGAAGCTTTGTATAATAACCGTATAAATTATCGACTAACTCTACTCATTTTGCAGAAGTTCGTTACAATGGCGAGTTTTGGACTTTATTCTCCAAAAAAAAGGAGTTGGTCGTATAAATTAACGGCTAACTCTATGAATGTTACTGAAGTTTATTATAATGTAGTTTACTTCTGTGAGGCAATTGAAAAAGTTGACGCAAGATTTAAACAGCATTAGAAATGAACAAACTAAGTGTTAATAAGTTTTTTGGTTAGATTTCAAAATAATGTGTGTCCACAAAATAATTGAAGGAAAGTATTATAAGAAACTGACTTAGCTTAATGTTGAAATAAATCTCATATAAAAAGTCCGCATTTGGTCAATTGAATTGACATTTTTTTGCTCACAAGTCACTGAAAAAAAAGTTTGGAAGTTAAAATGAAAAATAAATTCATTGTCAATTAGGACTTTATTTATTTATTCTGTTATTTACAAAATACTTGTTATAGGTAACACACTCAGAAAAAAATATACCAAGTTAAACATTTATATGGTACATTAACTAGCTACACGATTCAAATTTATAGCAATTATTTGTTACCTTGTACCATGTTTCTGTCCAAATTGAAATATAGCGACTTGTTAGGAAGTTTAAATTAACTACGATAATATGGTTCAACCAAAGAAAAATATTGATATAGTAGCACTTTCAAAATATATATTATTCAACCCAAATTAAGATATCTAACTGTACATGCTTTAATGACATCCCTTTGTAAAGACTCCTGCTAATTTATTTCTAAAAAATAGAAATTTAAATAGCGTGTGATGAATTAACGGCTATTGAGATGTGAGAAAAATGGTTTGTCTGAGCGAGATTTACACAATATTCAATAATTAATTTTTTGAATTATAATTTATTGCTTCTAATTTTATTGATTTTAATTAGTTATTATTTGAAAATAATAATTTAATTTAAATATATCTTTAGATATTAGCATTTTTTTTTCTTCAAAAAAAATTGATAAATTATTTCTTTCGTTTACAAGCATGCGCAGTAGGCCAGAAGACCATGATCTTTGGCCAAAAGTCAAAAATTAAATTTCAACTAAAATATGTTTAGGCAGCTTTAATATCGCCCAAATTAAGTGTTCATAATCATTCCAGACATTATGATTTACTTTTTGGACCGACGAGAGTACAATGTAATGAAAAATATGTTAAAAAACTTTTAAATTTATATTTCAGAAATATATATAGGAATTTCACCTTTCTGTTACATTTTTATCAGAGTAATTAGTCTGAAATTATAGTACAATATTTCAATTTGTTGGATTAGTTAATACTCTGGACAAACTTATAGTTTATATCTTATCATTTGACATTTTACAATGTTTGAATTAATAGAAAAAGTTCCAAAAAGTTGTGTCCAAAAAGTTCCACGAGGTAATTAGCAAAACTTTTTTGTTGTTGTCTTCTTTGATGTTTCTTCTTTCGAAAAAACCTGCCCCATTTTGCCCATATTGGAAAGGTTGACTAAATATACCGAAAAACAAAAATTATGTTTTTTTTCTTCATGTTTTTCGCGTTATTTTGTAATTAATTCGCATTATTTTGTAATATTACTTCGGAAATATAATTTGCTTTTCATTTTTAATATAAAATTACGAAAA